ATGTTGCCTGTTCATGCTACGGTTTTCTAAGTGCATTTTAAGACTTCCTTATTAGTAGACTGCAGTATTTTCTCCCTGACTGATCAGTCTACCTGGCCTACAGATCCAGTTGCTTTCTTGACTAGATGTGTTACATTTGTTAACTTCCAATTCACTGAAACCATTCAAGAAACCAAGTAATTTTGGAAAATAACAACCAGTGGATCCACAGCTACCTCCATAGTTGTCTCTTGTAGCATCCTGGGATATAGTGTTCAGGTCCTGAGATTTGGTTAACTTAAAGCTTGTCAAGTTTCTCTAAGCTTTTCAATATGGATTACCTCAAGTTTCTTGTTATTCACTTTGTTGCTTTCTATTTCTGCATTTCTGTTATCTTGTGACTTCTTCTGTGAGGACAGATATAAAATTTTCAAAATAATTTGCATGTCCCTCGTTTTACCACGTATTGATCTAGGAATCTGCCACAACAGCATTCTACAAGGTCATCTTCCAAATTACTATTTCCAATTCGATCTGCCTAGTCTGTGAAAATTAAAGCTCTCTGTGGTTATTCTCTTGCCTCTTTTTTTACAGACTCCAATTATTTCTTCCTTCATGCTCTATCTAGTGGTAGAGGACCCTATAAACCTCCCCCACCAGCTTTCTCAGGCAATTGTTATTCCTCATCTGGATCCATGTTAATTCTACTTTGTAATCTTCTGGACAAAATTCTTTCTTCCTATCGTTTAAACCTCTTCCTTTACTATCAGGCTTCTCATCTTCCTTTTCTATACTGTCAGTCTTTTTGAAATGTTGTATATCATGGAATAAATACCTCTTAACCTTTGTCATCTTGCAACCACATCTTTGAACCCAATTATTTGTTTGTGCTATTAGTTCATCTCTCTTGTTGAGAATGCTTCATAAATTCACATAAAGAATCTACTTATTTTTCTACATCATTCTTTGCATGCATCTTATTTCCTGATACACCATTAGCATGAAACTCTCTGTTCCTTCCCATCCCACTCAGTTTATCTTTATCCAAATCATAACTATTCTATTACTTTGATTTTTCTTATTAGATTTCAACATTTTCCTTCACCTGACCCCCTACACATTTTTCTGATCTAATTGTAACTTCAAATCTACATTACCACCTATACTGGCAACCTTGCAGCCACTTGCTGAACAACAATCTACCTAGCTCTGTCTTAAGAATATTCAAGCACTCTGTATCCACCACCATTTCAGGGAGAGTTCCAAATACTCACATGTGCCCAAACAGCAGCCCCTAGTTCTAGACTTTCTCCTAAGACAAAACATCTTCTTCTGTCAAGTCTCCTCAGAATTTATTTCTTTCAACAAAGTCACTTCTAACTGTTCTGAACTCAAGTAAATGCAAGCCTACAGTCCTCTCATTTCAGATATTGGTTTGGTAAACCTTCTCTGAACTTCCTCCAATGCATTTCCATCCTTCTTTATACAAGGAAACCAATATACTACACAGCACTCCAAATGTGGTCTCACCAGTGCCCTGTGTAACTGAAGCATAACCTCCCTACTTTTGTTCTGACTTCCCCTCATGATAAATGACAATATTCTAATAGCTTTCCCACTTATTTTCTGTACCTGCATACAAACCTTTTGTGATTCACACATGTGGCCACCTGGATCCCTCTGCAATTCACAACTCTGTAATCTCTTATGAGATAAAGGCTTCCTTTTTTTTAATTCTTATTGCTATTCAACAAAATACAAAATCTTCCTTTGGGACCACAGGATCTGGCGCAAACCATATGACCGACTTGATAGATGCACGGACTTCAGAAAAATCTACCAGGGTCAAATGCATTTTCATCACAACTACCACTTCCATGTGTGGGAAAGGGGTGGTCTCACTGGGGAGAGGGAAATTGAGGTCAGGGCCACAAGGCCTAGATGCTGTTGCAAGGGCAAAGCCTTTGAAATATCAAAACCTGGGGCCATCCTCCTAATGCTGCTGAACTACAATTATTTACAAAGTAGGCCTGTCGCGTCAAGAGGTTAATTTTCATTTGATGACATTCTGTGAAGGCGGTGGTGTAGTGGTAACATTACTGGTTTAGTATTCCAGGGGCCTAGGTTAATGTTCTTGGGACACCGGTCCAATTCCCACCAAGGCAGATAGAACATAGAACATAGAACAGTACAGCACAGTACAGTCCCTTCGGCCCACGATGTTGTACCGAACTTTTACCCTAATCCTAAGGTCTGTCTAACCTCCACCCTTACCTTAGATACTGTGGTCTAATTTAAATTGTAAAAAAAAAATCTGAAATTAGAAGTTGATTTAATGGCAATCATGAAACCATTGTCAATTGTTGTCAAAACCTGTATACTTCATGAATATCCTTATCTGTCACCCTTACCTGGTCTGGCCTAGTTGTGACTCCAGACCCACAGCAGTGTGGTCGCCTGTTCACTGCCCTCTGAAATGGCCTATCAAACCATTCCACTCAAGGGTAATTAGGGATGGTCAACAAATGCTGGACTTGCCAGTGATACCCAAATCCCTTGCAAGAATAACAAGAAAAGGGATATACCATTTGATTTCCAACACTGTAGACTGCAGGAGTCTGTTTGACCACTTAACTAAAAGTTGGTAAACCAAAATTTGTTTTCTTGATTTTGTTTTTGGGGTCTATTCCCAGCTTTTTCAGCTCGGGTTACAAAATTTGCACTTGAGATTTTCCATTGAACACTGTCAGTCGTAAAGTCAATGTGACGAACATTCTTTAAAACATAGAAACTTAGAGTAGGAGTAGGCCATTTGGCCCTTCAGGTCTGCTCTGCCATTTAATATGATTCTCTATCTCAATGTCATATTCCCACTTTCTCCCCTTAGCCCTTGATACCTTTTAAGATCTAAAAGTGTATCTGTCTCTTGCTTGAATATATTCAGTGATTTGGCCTGAACAACCTTCTGTGGTAGAGACTTCCACAGGTTCACGATCCTTTAAGTACAGAAATATTTCCTCGTGTCAGTCCTAAATGGCCCACCCTATATCCTGAGACTGTGACTCCTCCCTGCATCTATTCTGGGCATCCCTGTTAGAATTTTACAATTATATATATTTTAAATGAAAAATTTGCAATATTAAAAAATGTTATAATGTTGACACATATTAATTGCAACTTGATACCATTTACAGTTATGTAAAACTTCTTTAACAACACAAGTAAATTGTAAAGAGCTGTTTAAACTGTCACTGAAATATTTCTTCACAAAGAAGACAATGTGGTTATAACAGATTTTTCTCTCAAAGACAAAGTTCTTGGAGATTTCCAAATTGTGAATCAGGCACTTTTAATAGGCTTTCAATGTCAAGTTCAAATAAGCTGTGGAAATCATGTTGTGGCTTTTATTTAGGCTGTTCAGTTCTACCTTTAGAGGAAGGAACTCTGGCTTTAATTTCTTGGTCAATATCCAGCATGAGACTCATGTTGGTAGGTGAGTGTATGCCCCCAGTCTTATGAGTTATGTGAACCCATGAAAGTACCCAACTTTGGAGAACTGAGCAGAGACCAGAGACAAGAAAACAGCAAATTCTGTTGTTAAATGTAAGGCAGCTTGGTATGTTTGACTCAGTTTTCAAGAATTAAATACTTGAACCAACCAGATGTCAGGACATTCTAAGTTTAGCATTGAGTAATGAGGCAGAATTAATAAACAATCAAACAATAAAGGAACACCTAGATAATAGTGATCATGCCTTATTGCATTTAATATTAGGTTTGAGAGAAGCGTAAGTCACAAACCAACCTTTAAATTTATTTACAGCTGGCTTTGAAGTGATAAAACAGAAACTGACCACTGTAAATCGGGTGGATCTGTTATGGGTAATAAATAGGAAATGTTCAAAGAAGTATTTGTGCAATACCTCGACATAGTTCTAAAGGACAAGATCTCTATTTATGCAGTGAAATAACCTTGTTAACAAAGAGTTGAATGCTAGTGAAAAGTTAAAAGAAAAGGCTGGCATAAATACAAAGATTTGTGGAGATCCTGTGAGCTGGAAGATATATGAAGAACAGCAATCGTACACAAACGAAACAATGAGTTGCAAAATGGATTATGAGATTTAAGAAAAAAAAACTCATGAGAAATAACATTAAATGTTTTTGCCATAATATTGAGAAAAAGAGGGTGAATAAGGTTAATGTACACCCCAAAAGAAGGCACATGTATATAATTGAAAACAAGAAAATATCAGATGAGCTAAATAATTTGCACTGGTCTTTAGAGGAAGATGATAAAGAACAGGAGGTATGAGGAAAACAAAATGTAAGTAATTGCTTGTACAACAGAACTTAAACATTGCTAAAAGGAGACAAAAGGTTGAAACTTTTTATCTTGTACTCATCAGAGATAGGACACAAGAAGCAGACTTGAACAAAGGGACACCAATGGTGCAAGACAAAATGTTTCAGTTTGTTATGTCCTGTTAGCCATTTTTAAACAAAATATAAATCAAAGGACACATTTACTGGATTTATATGTTTTTGTTCAATTGTAAGGGTGAAAATAGAACTTCTGTTTAATCTAGTTAAGTCACTTGCTGTTTTCTCCTTGCTAGGTTCCTCTTCATATCTTGTAATTCACTCAATTTCTATTGCTCGGTTGTTTCAATTTGGCACTCAATATAAAATACCTTCAGTGATTCCCTATCTTGTGTTTTACTTATTATGTGTTCAGTAAGTAATTCAATAGTCATGATGAACTTAAGTTTTTAACAGGAAATTGACAGTATTTGCTAAGGAACCGTTTTAGTGAGACTGGTGTGTGAAAGACTGTACACTCCTTCCTCAAAGTACTGACTGCTGTCAATTGTGTTAAGTTCCAACAATGCCGAAGAAAGTTATTGAGCTGAAGTAATTTTGTGGTGTAACTCTAAATAAGAAGAAAGTAATCACAGGTTAATTTCATGTGTTTGGCTGCGTGAAATTTGATTTCCTTTTCCCTATTTGCTTCATTTCAGCACATGCTATCAAAAGTTGGGAGGTGGAATTTTGACATTTTCTTGTTTGACCGTCTAACGAATGGTAAGTTAAATATTGAACACTTAACAAATCGGTGTACGCTGCTGATCAGGGAGATTGTACTGTGCCTACCAAAATGTGCTTTTCCTGTTCTGTTCTATAATCAGATTAAAAAAGTGATATCACAATATATAATTGCAAGATGTTGTGACTAACAAAGTAAGCATATTGTTAAGTTTCTGTGGTGGTAGTTGATACCACAACTTTCTGACTCTGAGGTAAAAGGGCTTCCACTCAGTCAAGGATGCAATTCTTTCTTCGTAAGCACAAGCTCTGGAATCATCCTTCACACATTTCTCAGAAGAAACAACAACACATCTGTGTACTTTTTGAAGGTTAGGCTGTCTAAAGTTGCACATAGTATTCCAAATACGACCTTACCAATGATCTGTATACATCAATAACAGCATGTTTTGGCACCTAATCAAATGCCTTTGATGTGAATGACATAATGAGCTGGAATTTTCAGTCAGTGATGAACAAACTGAGCCAGTATTTCTTTACACCCAGCGAGTTTCTGAGCAGTTTTGCTCTAGAACTTAGAGTTCTTGGGACAAGAACTCTATGGTTAGCACTGCTGCCTTACAGTGCTAGGGACCCGATTTCATTTCCACCCTTGGCTGACTGACTGTGTGGAGTTTACATGTTCTTCCCATATCTGCGTGGGTTTCCTCTGGGTGTTCTGGTTTCCTCCCACAGTCCAAAGATTTGCAGGTTAGGTGGATTGGCGACGCTAGATTGCCCAAAGTGTCCAGGGACGTGTAGGCTGGGTGAACTAGCCATGGGAAATGCAGAGTTACAGGGATAGGGTAGGGGGCTAGGTCTGGGTGAGATGCTCTTCAGAGGGTTGGTGTTGACTTGGTGGGCCAAATAGCCTGCTTCCACACTGCAAGTTGCCATCTTCTAGGATTTGTTTGAATGGGGTAACCAATTGTATATCACCCTAACCAATCATACTGACGAGTTATTAATGTGGCACACAGCATGGGGATGGTAGAACAGTGAGAGCCAGAACATCCATACAGTCCATCTGCTCAATTTTTGCCCACTGACTTGATGTATCCGTATTGATGTACAACCTCATTGTATCCTCTTCACAGCTTTCTTTATCTCACTCTTCTAACTGATACTCATTGCCTCCGAGTCCTCCTTTTACTCATTCTGTGCAGTTATGTTCCTCCTCCTCTCTCTGGCCTCTCCCCACCCAGTCACAGTGCTGACTGACAGTCCATCCCACTGCTCAGCTTACATGGAACAGCAGTCAAAAATAGCAAACAGGATCAGGAGGACTGTCCTAGCAGTACCCCATGCTCCCCCTGCTCTCCTCATTCCATACTTGCAGCACCCTGACTACTTCTCTCACATCAAGATGCATTTCAAAGTATACTCTGTGTCCAATCCTATCCCCCCTCCCCACTTCCTGCAGTCGTACCTTTCCCATGACCTGTTCATTTTGAGACTTGACTTGTGATTTCCTTGATGTGGCTACTCAGCTCTCGGCAGCCACCCTTCCTCAGCCTTCAGCTGCTTTCTTCACTTGCACGCTGCTGCAGCACATGTGTGGTGTTCACACGTGAGCTAGTTTAGGCCCCCTGTCATGCCTGCTGCTAAAAACCATTGTTTTGGGCCATTTAGACTCAGCTGCTTGAGACTCACTGTAGCCGCTCTGGGTCCCCACCCTAGCTAGTCCACTCACCCAGTCTCATTCTCAGTCACTTTAATGAACAGAGCTTCAGGGACCAGGATACTTGCAGTGGGAAGACTTCACAATTGACTCCAGACATTGGGCTCAAATTCAACACAGCCAGGCAATTAACAACTTTTAAATTGGAGATCGGATCAATTTGAGAATTATTTAGGAAAGGAGCAGGCAGGGGAATGGGTTTCCTAGGCTGCCAGTGCCAGGGATAAGGAAATGGCTAGACATTGAGACGGAAAGGGTTTAGACATAATCATAATCTTCAGATTCAGCTTCCTCTTGCGTTCAGGAAAAGCACAAGCACGTTTGATGTGGGAGTGGCATCATGTCAGAGAAAGATTGGGAAAAAAGAACTGTCTGGAACACAATATCTGAAACAGAAGGCTAAAAAGGAAGAAGAACAAGCAAAGCAAGATGGTTTCTTTCTGAGGTATCTTTGTCCACAGCTTCAAGAAAATGAGAGGAACTGTGGCTCAAAGGTTCAACCCACTGAGATGACAGTTTTGCCTGCAGTTTCACAAGTTGTAGTAGAGCTTGATACATCCTAATGTATAGGATGGTGCACCAAATGATGATGTGTGCCAGCAGGAGGATCAAGATTTGAAAGGATGTGAGCTTATCACCAGTGTGACCACTGTGAACTATGTTGACCCTGCCACTTGGTCCAAATGCAATGATCGTGTACAAAAGAACTTGGGCCAGAGCAACGTCAGCAGGTCAATGAGCCTGGAGATCATAATCAAAGATGATTCCAAACAAATCAACAAAAGGCTATTTGCCAATGAAGGAACAGTGCACCATCAATGACAACAGTATTCCATGACAAAGAACCTTGTTTTTTACTTCTGTTTCAAGCTGCTTACCAGTGGTGCATTATCTCTTTCTTCTGATAAAGATTCAAATTAGACAAACATGTCTGCCATTTTAGCAGCACATAAGAGAAGCAGGGAACATTTGGAGAATTTTGACACAGTGGAATTGAAAGGTAATGGACAGAAACTTTTGGGGTCTATAATCCTGTGACAGAACTGGATGAGAAGTCCAGTGAGGTCCATCTTGAGATTGGGAACATCTTCCTTGATCTTTTATACTTTTACCAAGTGGCGAAATGAGATTCGTGCTAGGCAATGTTGAGTTGCCGATTAAGGTGGGTTATTGCTTGTTAAATGCCCTGTTAATGGCCCAACTCACCTTAATATTTAGCTTCCTATCTTAATAAATGCACCAAACAAGCGGGACATTGAGATATTCAACATGGAAATCCATGCACTTACCTGGTAACTTCAGCTCGTCGCTTGTTTCAAAGGACCTCCATGTTGCTAAGGTTCAAACGATGTCTCAGGCAAGATCCATGGTCACCAACTGCACGTACCCCTTGTCCATGGACACTGGCATCCGATATTTGCCAGTCCTTCATGATCATCAGGGCATCTTTCTGGTGGTGAACTGCCAGGCCACTCATAAAACACAGACTGGCATTGCAGGGCACATCAGCAACTAGTGTCGAACAGCTACAGCATGGACAATTTGCACACAGAGACCGGAACCCAGCTCAACGATTGGATGAGGCTGCATCTCAGAGCTGCTGGCTTGCTCTCTTAGGGGTCATTCACTTCACACCTACCTACCTGCTCACACTATCCCTGCCTTGCTGTACCTCGCCTTGCTATGACATATACCAGGCAGCTTGTCTTGCTGGTCAGCAGTCCTCAGTCAAAGGGAGAAGACATTTGCTATGCAGCAGTGTGCTATGTCAATCTCACACCTGCTTCATGTGCCAACAGTTTTCATGGCAAACACGTGGCATGTGCAGCAAGCAGGCAGTCATATGTATTTAAAAAACTGTCATGTAAAAAACTCTTAGGGGAGTAGACCTCACTGAAGTCCATGGAAGCATCTGTTAGTCAGAGGGATCCCGGCACAGTAACTCAAGGGCAGCCTCCCTCACCAGTCCAGGGGAATGGCCCTGGTCAGGAGTCCAGTCAGACTATTCTTGGTCTGGGGGTCCAGGGAATGGATCACAATTAGTCATGTGGCTCCACAGTAGCCAGTCTGGAGGGTAATGCTAATGTGGTCGGGGGATATACACATATCAGTCTGCGGCCTGGGCACTTCTCGTCCAGTTACATCACTCAAGTGGGTGGACCATGGGCAGTCCATCAGGCCTGTCCGCAGAAACTAAGGTAAAATGGGAGTGTTGGGGGGATAATGGGATCCCTGCCGTGTAAAGGGGACATGGACTGGGGGGGCAGCAGGCTGGGGGAAGAGTAAAAGGGAGGAGTGATGGTTGTGAAGGGAAACAATAATATTTGTAAAGGGGCAGGAAGGGTCACCTCATATGCCAGGAGCTGGTGGGGAAAGGTGAGCAGGTGCAGGCTCCTATAGAAAGGTTGTGTGTGTACCTGGGGAGATGTGAAGCCTATGGGGATACGGTGACGGGTATCCAGCTGTTTGGGGGCTCACCAATAAATAGAGGCAGAGGAAGGAAGCAACTAGCCAAGGAGCTCTCACTGTCACGTTCCATCATGCTGGAAACCGAAAGTGAGCAATGGGGAAAAATGGGCTGAGACCAGACTGGAAGTGGGTGGGGTAAGCGTCAAGAGTTGCCACGGCTGCAGGACCCATCAACATGAAGACATTTAGAGGTAAACAATATTCCACACAGATCCATGGACTGTACAAGACATAGATCCGATGGGTCTCTAATATCTAACCGTCCTAATGCATTAGCTCCCTTATTGTACCTCCCTGTCCCAAACATCGCTGACCACCTCATTCGGAGCAGTACGGACACAGAGGCCTGGGAAGGAATATTGTAGGATGAGACCTTGACAGTGGGATCCAGTGCCCTGTTTTTGCATTGTGCATCCTGCTTCCTGATGTTGCAGCAGCCTCTCACCAGAGTGATCGATCCATGGTATGTTGTGTGCGACCATGAAGTTAGAATCGCGGTGCCCCTTATCCGACATGTTCAGGTTCTGTCCATAAATGAGTAGGGCAGCTTTGGAATGCCAGTGTGGGTCTGGCATAGCAGCCTTTTAAAGATGGCACAGATGCAAAGATTGCCAGTCATCCAGTGGCAATGCGCTAAGTGGTGCATTGTTCTGAGAATGGCACGTGGTAAGATGGAGCTGGAGCCAGATGTGATAGACTTCATATGGGCAGGGTAGATAGTGAATATGGCGAGTTTGGTAAGATGCAGTGAGAGTAGTTGCTGGGCTTCACGAGAATAAACCCTCAAAAAACATGACACAACTCTGCTTTAGCCAAAAAAATTTGATTAGGTTGATTAAGTTGAGATTGAAATATTATGAGCAATTTTGAACACCTCAAAAGGATATTGAAAACATGTGGTACAATGTAGATTTATTACAACAATAAGGAGTGTGAAAGAATGTATTTTATGATGTAAAATGTAATGGGAATGCAAAGCAAATTTCTCTAGTTTCCATGTTTTGTGATAAACATCTAAGATCTCTATTTTTTACAATGGTTATTAATATTATTTTTACTAATGGGAAAATTTGAAACCTAGATTTAACACAACATGGTTATATGCCAAAAAGAACCTATAACTAAAAGAAAACAGTCTTACAAAGGAGTAGGTGAAATTACAAACATGTACATTCTTCCCATGTCTGTGTGCTGTCGTTTTCTCCCAAAGGTGTGCAGGTTAGCTGGATTGGCCATGGGAAATGCAGGGTTACAGAGATAGGCTGGGGGATGGGTCTGGGTGGGGTGCTCTTCAGAGGGTCGGTGTGGACTTGTTGGGCCGAATGGCCTGCTTCCACACTGTAGGGATTCTATGGTTCCATGATTAGATACAGGAGTAGGCCATTTGTCCCCCTGAATGGTTGTGCCATTCAATAAAATCATGGCCGATCTGATCACTCCTATCCCCAATATTCTTTCACCCTCTTGCTAATTTATCTAACTCCAGCTTAAAAATAATTCAAAGATTCTGCTTCCAATGCCTTTTGAAGAAGGGATTTCCAAAGGTTCACAACCCTCTGTGAGAAGATATTTCTCCTTATCTTCATCTTAAATGGATGACCCTTTATCTTGAAATAGTAGCACCTAGTTCTCAATTCTCCCACAAGAGGGAATATCCTTTCCACATCCATCCTGTCAAGTCCCCTTTAGACCTTACATATTTCAACTCTAGTGGATAAGGCCTAGCCTGTCCCATATTTCTTCATAAGCCAATCAGTCCACTCCAGGTATTTGTCTACTAGACCTTCTCTGAACTGCTTCCAACATATTTACATCCTTCCTAAAATAAGGAAATCAATATCATTCACAGAAGAGATGTGGGCTTAGCAACACCCTATATAACTGAAGCATAATCTGTCTACTTTTATTGTAAGTTATCCTCACAATATTCTATTAGCTTTCCTAATTACTTGTTGTGCCTGCATACTAATCTTTTGTGATCCCTCTGTATCTCAGAGCTCTGCAAGCTCATTATATTTAGACAATCCGCTTCTTTTTTATTCCTCTTGCTGAAATGGACAATTTCACATTTTCCCACATTGTACTCCATTTTCCAGACCTTTCTTTATTTAACTTACTTTCCTACTAATGCATCATCAGCAAATTTAGCAACTGTACTTTCAGTCCCTTCATCCAAATTCTAAAAGGTTGAGACCCTAGAACTGATCCCTGTGCACATTACTCATTACATCTTGCCTAGCACAGAAATAAATAATTTGACTAACCAGCCCATTAGAATTGTAGGAACCATTAATCAACTAAAATGGACATGAGAATATACAGTTTGAAGTACTTATTGCAGCAATGGAGAAATTGAATTTTACTTCAGTTAAATGTGTTTCATCCAGAAATAATGAGGAGAGGCGAAAAATAGTAATAATTGTGAACTTTTTTTTTGGACAATTAATTGAAATAATCTCATTGTACAGAGGGTACTGAGAAGAATTTACATTTGATCAAGGCTGTTCTACTTTGAATTCCTCTTGCCACCAAGAATAAATGGAAACACAAACCCATGTCTCTATCCAGGAGTAATATTATGCGCCAACCTGATCTTTATAATATAGAATGATTCTATCATTGTTTTTGTAAATACCAGTTGTAAGTTTCACCAATGTGGATTAGTTACCAATGAACTCTTCCTTTATTTTAGGGAACAGTCTTGTCACCCTGTTATGTCACCTGTTTAATCTCCATGGTCTCATTCATCACTTCCAGTTGGATATGGTGAAATTGCACAGATTTTTAGGTAGGTCAAATAAATGTATCAAAGTGTTAAATATTTTACAAGTAGTGAGTCAAATATTTATGCTGAAAATTGTTGACGTACTTTTTTATTAAAAATAATTATCACAACAGTAATGAAACAGTGCTGGCACAGGAAACACTTGTCGAACTTACATCGTTAGCTTTGCCATAAAGTGAGATCATCCCATTTAATGTAATTATTGGTTCATGATATACCAGGAAGTATAGGTGTTGGAGTCAAAACATCTGGGGTCGAAATTTGTTTCAGCCAGTGGAACAAAGCTAATGATATTGGATCAACCAAGAGCTACACATAACACTTTGCACTCAATGGAATTCACTATCATGCACTACGTGTAATGGGAAGTTAATCTGACATGACTAACTTGCACCGCTGCCTGAGATAAATTTCTGTCCCCTATGTCTTTTCAACTGCTCCTGGTTGTCCTTAAAGGAGAACTGGCTTTAGACAGTGGCAGATTTTGCAATTGGTAGTGAATTGTGATAATGAAGAGAAATTCAGCAAGTTGTGTCCAGGTAAGGACTGCAGCTTTTCTTCCCTTTAAGGACATTAGTCAGGATGCCAATTGGGTTCTCACAACAATCGTAATATCTTCATAGACATTGTTAGAAATGCCATTGTTGTTTTCTGTTTCCAGATTATTAATCTGAACTCAAATCCAATGGTGGATTTGAGTTCTTGTTCTCCAGATTATTAGTCCAGTAATGATTATTTCTTACTTTGACTTTTAGTCATTTCAGTACTATCATTGAGGTGGAATTGGAGAGTGGCAGAAAAATTGAGCACAGATTTGATGGACGACAATATGTTGAAGGACTTTGGAAAGAAAAAGGAGAGTGGATGGAAAAATAGTTTTCAATATCCAAGATTTTCGATTGAAAAGGTGATGGCAGTGATTTTGAAATAGAATGTAAAAGTACTGAGGAGAGGGACAATTTACAATGTTGGCTAGCTAGGAAGTTTGGAAGAGATATTTGGCAATCAACAGTTTAGTAAGAATGGTGTCAGCAGAGTGGAGGGAGGTCAAGTGTTCTGTGACAAGATGAACTTTAAAAGAACATGAGGAGAGATAGAAGAAAAACAAGAAAGATATGTTAAGGGCTAGAGCAGGTATGTTTTGTTTGGTGCCACTTCAACTCCATCGAAGATATTAGGACTCAGGGCGCATTAAAATGCACAGTATACATCAGATACTTAGAATTCAGTGCCCTGTAACTTGGAGCACCCTCAGCTGATGTGTAGGGATGCAATACCATACCTTTATACTTTTAAGGTTCTTGCGAAGATTTGTAACTCAGGTTGTGGATGAGGTTGTTGGCTTGCTTGCCGAGCTGGCTGGTTATCGTACTGACGTTTGGTCACCATGCTAGGTGACATCATCAGTGCGGCCTCCGATGAAGCGATGTTATTCTACTCCACTTGGAATTTATATGATCTGGCCTGTTAAGTTGTGTTGTGTCATTTCCGGTTTCTTTTCACATGAGTTTGTATATGGGGTCTAATTCGACATGTTTGTCGATTGCATTATGGGTTGAAAACCAGGCTTTTAGGAATTCCCATGCGTGTCAATGGTTGGCTTGGGCTAGGATGGTCACATTACCTAGCATGGTGACCAAACGTCTGTACGATAACCAGCCAGCTTGGCAATCAAGCCAACAACCTCATACCTTTATACTTTTGGTAAATAATCCAACTTACTTTTTTTTTCATTTTTATACTATGGCTTTCCATTTTGAGAGGTAAATCTGTCGAAGGATATACCACTGATTTTGGATTGACATCCTATTATAGAATGACAGAGCATGGAAACAGATCGTTCTGTCCAACTAGTCCACGCCAACCATGTTCCCAAACTAAACTAGTCCCACCTGCCTGCATTTGGCCCATATCCCTCCAAATCTTCCCTATTCATGAGCTTAGCCAAGTGTCTTTTAAACATTGTAACCGTACCTGCATCCAACACTTCCTCTGGCAGTTCATTCCACACACAAACAATTCTCTGTGTAAAAACCTTGCCCCTCATGTCCTTTTTAAAACTTTCTCCTCTCACCTTAAAAATATGCCCCCTAGTTTTGAACTCCCACACCCTAGGGAAAAGACCCTTGTCAATCACTTTATCTCTGCCCCTCATAATCTTATAAACCTTATCTTTTCTTAGGTCAGGCTATTGCTAATTTACATGGATTCAGGCTCAGAGTTGCATAGAAGTGACTCAAATTGGTTTTGCTTTAAAATTTTTATCCTTGTGACAAAGTAGATCTAAAAAAAAGAAAAAACTTGATGAGAAGAGCCAGTTCATTCTCTGAATGGATGGATTCTTATTCTCAATCATGTTACCACAGACGGATGGAAGATTGAAAATAGACAGTAAGGAAGGCAAAATGGGGGCACTCACGTCCAGTGACACCTCATAGAGTCATAGAGATATACAGCACAGAAACAGACCCTTTTGCCCAATTCGTCCACACCAAACAGACATCCCAATCTGACCTAGAACTGTTTGCCAATATTTAGCCCACATCCCTCAAAACACTTCCTATTCATGTACCTTTTAAATGTTGTAATTGTACCAGCCTCCACCACTTCCTCTGGCAGCTCCTTCCATACATGCACCACCCTCTGTGTGAAAAAGTTGCCCTGCAGGTCCTTTTATATCTTTTCCCTCTCACCTTAAACCTGTGCCTTCCAGAATTGGACTCCCCTGCCCTTGGATAAAGACCTTGGCTATTCACTCTAACCATGCCCCTCATGACTTTATAAACCTCTGTAAGGTCACCCCTCAGCTTCCAATGCTCCAGGGAAAGACGTCCCAGCCTGTCCACCCTCTCCCTATAGCTCAAATTCTTCAGCCCCAGTAACATCCTTGTAAATCTTAGCTGATTCAAAATTGAATTGAATTGAATTGAATTAGCTTTATTGTCACATGTCCTCAAATGAGTAGAGTGAAAAGTTTGAGCTGCCATTTACAGCGCCATCTTGGGTACTAGGTACAACTTCTTCAGTTACAAGATTAGTTACACAGTAACAATGTCACCAACACAAGGCACCGTCTTAGGTACAGAGTACCTAGGTGACATCTCATAGAGTCATATAGTCAAACAAAATGGCAGTGGAAATTTGTAAGTATGTACTCCTGCAATTGCTGCTGCCTTGAGGAGAAGGAAGTGAGGACTGTTAACCTCTCGTGCTAAATAAAATCTGGTTTATGCTCTTAGAGAACACCAGGCATTTTACTTTGGTTACTAATCTTGATTCCACCAGGTAAATGTTTTAAAATACACGCTAAATATTTTATGGTTGTGCAACTACTGCTTCAGACCTTTGTGGTGGTAAATTTGTACTTAACTTACATTTTCATCCCTACCAGTCATGATTCAAGAGGATTATCACAGCCAAAACCCATATCATAATGCTGTTCATGCTGCTGATGTGACTCAGGCAATGCACTGCTATCTAAAAGAACCAAAGGTATGAATGAACCTACTTTACATTTAATGAAATAAAAAGGATTTTAAAATATCTTTTATTAGCATTTCTTTAAAAAGGCAACTTGAAGAGAAACATAGGTCTGAAAGCAATCTCTTTTATGACTGTTTTGACTTCTGTTTTGCTTTTTCTTTCTTTCATGGGCTGTGGGAGTTGCTGGCCATGCAATTTTTATTGCCCATCCCTAATTATCTTGGGGAAGGTGCTGGTGAACTGCTGCAGCCTCTGAAGTGTAGGCATATCTACAATGCTCTTGGGGAAGAAGTTCCACAATTTTGACCCAGCAACAGAGAAGGGATAGTGATATAGCTCCAAGTTAGGATAGTGAGCAGGTGGATGGGAACTATCAGGTGGTGGTGATCCATGTTGCCCCTGTCCTCTAAACAGTAGAAGTCATGAGTTTGGAACATGCTGCCAAAAGAGCCTTGGTGAGTTGTTACAGTGGATCTTGTAGCTGTCACTGTGCATTGATGATAGAGTGTGTGAATGTATAAGTTGGTGGATAAAGTGTCAATCGATTGGATTTACTTTGTCCTGGCTGCTTTTGAACTACTTGACTGTTGATGTCAAGGGCTGATATTCTTACCCCACCTCAAATTCAGCCCTCTTGTTTGTATTTGGACCAAGGCCGTAATAAGATCTCGAGCCAAATGGCCATGGAAAATCCAAACTGAGAATCAGTTACCAGGTTTCACTGAATAAGTGCTGCTTGGTAGTACTGTTGACAGCTCCCCTTCCCTCACTTTGCCGATAATCGAGAGAAGATTGGTGAGGTGGTTGTTGACTGGGTTCATTTGTCTTGCTTTTGGCACTACAGGTAATATTTCCTATATTGGCTGATCCTGGAAATTGCAATAGAGGTAGACAACAGGCAATTAATCACAACTGCCCCTTGCTATATTTTCAATCAGGATTTTGCCTGAGTGGAAAATGTGTGTGTTTATCTCTTTATCATGGTTGTCAAGCTCCATTTGAAGAATTGAAGACACAGGGAAATGTTTCTTTGTGCACAATTGTGCCACTCACTCTGCCAGAAGTCAAAGTGAGAAGTAAATGTAGGCTCATGACTTACAAGAATTGCAGAGCTATAGATGACAGTCTCACGCTCCTGGTGCAGCAATGGCAGAATAATCAGAAATTTGTAAAATAAAACAAATTCCTAATGTTGTTTTGACGATTTCATCACACAGTTGCACGTGCACAAATAAAGCTTTAAAATGGTGCCAAGTGTCACAGCATTTTGGATTTTAAGTAATTACCTAAATGCATAAAGAAATAAATCTTCTCCACTGTCTGTAAACTAAGAGGTATATGAGTAATGTGGCGACTTGATATCACTTGTCCATTTGTGTACATACCTCATATTTGTATAGAAATTAAAATGGTTCCATGTTATAATTGCAAACCACAGACTAGAGGCCAGCGTAATCTTCAGCAGTTTCCCCAGACACAAATGTAAACAATGTAATGGTCATTACAAGACTGGAACCTGAATTTCATGATTTATCACAAATATTCTTGTGGTTTAATTTAAAATTGTCCAAATTTGCTTCTAGTTCTGGTACAATGTTGTTTAATGTCCCCTCTTTCATGTTTATTGGTGTTCGATCTGAATTGATGTTGAATGAAATCACAGCTCTCATTGATAACTGCTGTTGTTTAGAAATAGACAACTAGTCTCCAAACAGGTTGAAGACAAATCAGGCTGTTTTATTTTATGCTGTTGATGATGCATTCACACAAGTGTATTTATATCAAGAGATGCTAAAGTTGCTCTGGGAACTTTTTAAATCTATTTATCTCGGGGTTTTCACTGTATAAAGTATAAAACCATAGAGGATTATATAACGTTCAATGACCTACATCTCTATGCCAAAGCTTTGTTGTTAATATTGTTAAAAGAATTCTTTTGTAAAGCACTTTTAAAGGGCATGAGGAAAGGGCAGGGTAATCAGACTGTGGTGAGTCATTTCAAAGGGCATGTACAGGGATCAAAAGCAAATATGAGACACGTTTCCAGGTTACACATGTGGATTATTGTTCATATCTTAAAGATTGTGTTGATAAATAACAAATAATAAAAGTTAGAACTAAATAAAACTGTCCATTAGCATCTAACAAGAAGAGGATAATATTAGAATAGAATAGAAAACAATAGAACAGCCTTTATTGTCATGTGCACTCGAATTAGTGCAGTGAAAAATTTGTAATGTCGCCTCTCAGCGGCATCTCAGGTGCAGGGTACCTAGGTACAGATACTTCTTGTGTTGTTACAGAATTGAAATAGTACAAAAATAGACTAGCATGGGAATACAGGGCATAAAAGTCCAGATTGAGAATAATAAGTGCCTTCAAAGGTCTCACGTTATAGTCCTTTTCCACCGGTTCCGTGCCTGTCGAGCTTCAGAACACAAGGCCTTCCTGTCTCCACGTACTGACCTCTATCCAGGTCTAACTTCCAGGACTTGTCCCCTGGCCCAGCCTGGGCTTGATCTGCTCCCGCTCCAGGCTCTGGCCGCGACTCAGCTCCCAGCTCGGCCCACGCTCACTCAGCACCCGTTCCATCTGCGACTCAGCTCCCAGCTCGGCCCACACTCACTCTGCTCCAGCTCCGGTCTCCGTCTGCGACTCAGCTCCCAGCTCGGCCCGCACTCACTCTGCTCCCACCTTGGCCTGCACTCACTGTGCTCCCGCTCCAGCCGTGACTCAGCTCCCAGCTCGGCCGCACTCACTCTGCTCCCGCTTCAGCCGCGACTCAGCTCGCAGCTAGGCCCACGCTCACTCTGCTCTCGCTCCGTCTGCGACTCAGCTCCCAGCTAGGCCCACACTCACTCTGCTCCCGCTCCGGTCTCCGTCCGTGACTCTGCCCCCAGCTCAGCCCGCACTCACTCTGCTCCCAGCTTGGTCTGCCTTCACTCTACTCCCGCTCCAGCCACGACTCAGCTCCCAGCTCGGCCCACACTCGCTCTGTCCCGCTCTGTCTGCGACTCAGCTCCCAGCTCGGCCCGCACTCACTCTGCTCCCACCTTGGCCTGCACTCACTCTGCTC